AAAAAAATGTTTTGGCATTTTTTTTTTTTTTTTTTTTTAACTCAAAAACGTACGAATGTCACATTCGCCACTAGAGAATTGCCCATATGTATAAATGAGAAATAAATAAAAGGTTTACGCCGAAAATACACAGAAATATTTTCGTCAAAATAATTATATGGATTAGTTTACTTTACTTACACCTTCTCGCTTTTTCTTCTTGTCGACTATGGCCTGTAAATTCTTCCGTTGCTTCTTTGTTAGAATTTTCACAACTTTATGTTCTTTTTCTATAATTTTTGTTGCCCGCTTCTTTGAGGGCAAAGCTAAAGCATTTGCCTCGTCGTAGCCAGTGGGAATGGATTCGTTGCCCTGGACCACATCCTCGCCTTCGATTTGAATCTGCATCCGAATATATTGGTTGAATTCATTGCGGTGATAGTTGGTTTCAACCATACTTACACTTTTAGCCGTTGAATTATCAATTATCGTATGCGGATTCTTCCGCGCTTTTTTATTAAATTTTGTTTTACCCATTTTAATATATTTAGAAGCAGCTAACTTCTTTCACATCTGTCACAAAACAAATTCTCATGCACGTGCTGACAGTCAGAGATGTGATATTGTGATTTGATATATTATCGATTACATTAAAGAACAATAAAAAATCGACTGTAAAACAAATTTGGTATTTAGTGCTCTTAGAGATGTGCACTGATCTCTGTTTACAAAAATCGCCAAATATGGCTAGAAAATTAACAATTGAGAAAGACATGCGTATTGAAATTATCGCACAATGAAAATTGTTCGAATCTAAGTTGTTTTGTTTTGCTATTGTTATGTTTTATTGAGAGTCTATAATTAGCAATCATTTAAATATATGAACATTTAACACGTACAATTAACGTAACGACTTGCACAGAAATATCGCTAGATGTGTGAAAATTTTGAACCGTCTGGCAGCTCTGTCAGCACCAAAAGAGAGCGCGAACGAGAGACGAACCGTGGGAGAATGCTCAGCAATTGGCAAGCCCGCGTAGCAAAAAAAAAGCCTTGTGTGTTTTGTTGTTTTCATTTTGTATGTGGTGTAGCATATTACTGTTCAGTAAAACCGTTAATTTTTGTTTTTAGCATACATATATATTTACAAAAACAAATGCGATGACGAGTAAAACCGATCCAGTGCGCATTGTGCTGGCAAATTTAATTGCCGAATCGCAGTAAGTGCAGAATGCTGAACAGATGCGCAGCTCATATATTTCTTTTGTTTTTTTTTTGTTTTTTGTTTGTATTGTTTTGAATAAATTGAATAAATTGTAACGAAATTATTTGCGTAGAACGCCATATACGCCGGACAAGATACTCCGGGAATTTCGTGCCACAGTTGACAAGCGCCTCTCAGATAGAGAGCTACTCTTCCTGCTCGAGTCCATCAGTTCAAAGCGTCCCAATTGTCGAGAGGTGCTCGATGAGATAAGCGACACACTTGAAAGGTTCGTATAGACACACTGACATAAAATGAACTAGTTCCTTGTCATCTACTGTTTTTCCCCTAGTGTGCGTGCTCCTTACTTATTTTTATTATTTTTGTTTAGCAAGGATCCTATGTACGCTTTGCTGGTCTTTGCGGAACGAATAAACGACGAAACAATGTGGCAGTCAAAATACAGCGGAGGCAACAACTCGAATCTCAACTCCAATAAAAATCCCGAAATGTCAGCGCCGTTGCATGACTCGGAGCTGGGCAGTAAATGTGTACGGAAATCCTTGGATTTGTCCACATCAACGCCAGTTAGCCGACGCTTGCCCGAGGATACCCCAGCACTGTCCACCATCAATGCAACAAGTGCACCCACTACATATACGCGTCGTGCCTTACCTAATGCGCTCAATGCAAAAGACCACTTCGCACAGCGTGGAGATCTAAGTGTGGTGGGTGCCATAAAGCTAACTGTATTTGTCTAGCATTAGTTACCTCTTCCCTGTATGTAGATCAAGAAACGTGTGCTGAATGCTGTTTCGAACAGCTCAGCCTTGACGGGTACCATCGATCAGTTGCTCAATAGCAGCAACAGCAACAAACTGAAAGCGCAAAACTTAGCAGGAGCRGGAGCAGGAGTTGGCGTTGCTGTTGGTATTGGTGCTCGCGGAGCATCAGGTGCTGCCAGTCGAACTGTGAATGTAGAATCGAGTCCGGGAGCCAAGAGTCCCAAGGCCACTCATCACTCTGGGATTACCACTGTCAACAGCTCTGGAACAGTCACCGGCGCAGGCACTGGCCCAGGCACCGCCATTGCCGCAGTCACCGGCACTGGCATCATCACTGGAACCAGCACTGCCACCAACAATGGAGCAGCCAACAACAGCCGTGCGCTTAGTACCTTGCCGCCAACCGGCTACCGATCGCTACTCGAACGCACTCAGCCGAGCACCAACAGCAAAAGCGCCGGTAACAACAAGGATGTTAGTGAGCCGAGGGATGGCTTGTTGGATGAATATCGCACACATTTGCTATGGGATTACTATAGAGTGGACACGCCAAATGGCACATCGCAGCCGGAGCTGACAGCGTTGCCATTTGATGCACAACAGCGTGTTCTGCTCACCGAAATCCTATACTGTTTGAGTGGAGTGCGAGGCACATATATACTAATAATGCCCAATGATGAGCAGGCGAAGGGCTTGGCCAAGTACGAGACACAGTTTAGTCTGCATGTGCAAGTGGATAAATCGCTGGTCGAGATGGTGAACGAAATATTGCCATTGGCTTCATACTTTATGGGCATTCAAAAGGTCATCGCACTGACGGACGGACATGGCCAGGTCAACAATGCCCTCAATGCGGCCTTGCACGTCATTAGCCATGACTTCTATGTGAGTTCGATTGCTCCTAGTCCATCAGAATTGCAAGTTTTAACTATTCGAATTGCCTCTCTTGCAGATGCTGCTACAGCAGGCCGAGATGGAGCTCTTGAAGAATGATCTGACAGTGGCCAAGCTGCTGTACTATCTGCAACCCACCATTTGGGTCATAGGCGAGATTTGGACAACTCTGGCTGAAGTGGATATGGTAACTCATTATAAGCTCACACATGATGTACAGATAATTAAGTCAGTCTCACGTTGTTTAGAATAATTACCATGGCGCTGCTGTCCTAACTCATCTCTGCGATCGCATCAAGCAACTGGAGGGCGACAAGTGTGCCCAGGAATTGATCATTGGGCTGGCTCGGAAGGCCGCAGAGCCGTATATGCGCATGCTGCAGCTGTGGATACAGAAGGGCATCATTGTTGATAGCACACACGAATTTCTGGTCGAGGACAATGAAGTCATCCACAAGGATGAACTGCCCGAGCACTATTCGGATGACTATTGGGAGAAGCGCTACACAGTTTGCTCTGAATGTATTCCGTCGTTCCTCGAGAAGCATGCCGACAGAATATTGCGCACGGGCAAATATTTAAATGTGATCAGACAGTGTGGGCAGCGCGTGATGCCCACGCAGCAAATGAATCTTGAATTTGACCCAACCAATGAGCGGCACGTCATTGTGATCAATGATGCGTATTATTTTGCGGCACGCATGTTGCTCGATGTGCTGCTAACCGAGAACGATCTGATGGGACATCTGCAATCAGTGAAACGTTATCTGTTGCTCAATCAAGGCGATTTCACCATGCAGTTCATGGATGCCTGCGAGGATGAGCTGGCCAAGAATGTGGATCTAGTGCTGCCCATGACCCTGGAGAATTTGTTGGGTCTGACCTTGCGGCTCTCGTCTGCACGCAGCGATCCTTATAAGGATGACCTGCACTGCGAGCTCCTCACATACGATCTGGTCACACAAATGTCCAAGATTATGAATCAGCAGGAGGGTAAGTAATAGTGGCTCAATTTAAGCATAGTTTTAGTGAGTAACTGCAACAACTGCAACGACATTGACTGGCTTAGCCAACCTGCCCATCGCCTATTAATTTGTTCTATGTTTCAGAGTACTGGAAGACGACAGATCGCCTCGACTTGAGCGGCTTGGAGTGCTTTGCCTTCACCTACGAGGTGAAATGGCCAGTTTCTCTGGTGCTCAATCACATAGCCATAACAAAGTATCAAATGCTCTTCCGCCAACTCTTCTACTGCAAACACGTAGAGCGTCAGCTGTGCAAGTGAGTAACTGATATATGTATATACATGTATATATATTCATATTCACTCCATTATTGCAGAATTTGGAAGGAGAATTCCATAGCCAAGAAGTTCTCGCCGCTAGCTGCGGAGCTCTATCGCTCGGCCTTTACGCTGAGGCAGCGCATGATGAACGCCGTTCAGAATCTGGAATACTACATGATGATCGAGATCATTGAGCCCAATTGGCACATATTTATTGAGAAGATGAAGAAAGTGGAGAATGTGGATATGGTGCTCAGTCTTCACCAGGACTTCCTCGATCTGTGCCTTAAGAATTGCATGTTAACTGAGACATCGCATCTGAATCGTGCCATATTCAAATTATGCAAGATCTGTCTCAAGTTCTGCGAATTCATACAGGTAACACGACTATACAGAACTTATTCCTATATATACATATATATATACCAAGTTAGAGCTTAATCGAATGTCTTGTCTTGTGCCTTGCATACCTTTATTTCTCTTTCTCTCCCACTCTCTCTCTCTCGCTCTTTTCCATGCCTGTTTGAACATAACTGAACAAAATATTATATATATGTATGTGTGTGTACCCCCAATCAAAATCAAGCGCTCGCAACGTCTCTTTCGCGATGCGGAGCTCAAGTCCATGGTCTGTGATAGCAGCGATGAAAATACGGATCATTCCGACTATGAGCTAGATATGGCGGATCGTCTACAGGTATACACCATTATAATGACCAATGGAGCTCCACAGATTTTTACAAATTTTATTATTTCATATCATTCGATTTTTGGATACATTCAGATTCATATATGTATGATATTATTTTTAATGAATTTTGAGTTTGTTCATTAACTTATTTAAATCAAGGGTAAATTTGACTGCCGCTGGCGTTATAAGTATATGCATCTATATTAAGTTAATCTTTATTTTATATCAATTAATTCTATCTTTTACTAAAATTGCTTGCTTTTAATGTTTATATGTTCTATATATCTATATAGATCTCTTAAGTTCCTGTTCATATTGCTAACACTGTCCCTCAACAATTCAATCCTTAAAATGTTCATCCTTAAATCGAATTATATATTAATTCCATTCATTTGTTTATTCTTTATATTTATT